GGTTCATCCCGCATCGCCAGTTCTGCTTACCAAAAATGGCCCACTTGGAGCTTTCATTGATCCTCGGGGTTCGCTTAAGCAACCCCGAAAACTTACCTATTTTAAAGTTTGAGAATAGGTCGAGGGTGTTTCACCCCCGAGGCCTBTAATCATTCGCTTTACCCGATAAAACTGTTCAGCAGCTCCAGCTATCCTGTGGGAAACTCCGGAGGGAACCAGCTACTAGACGGTTCGATTAGTCTTTCGCCCCTATACCCAAGTCCGACGAACGATTTGCACGTCAGTATCGCTGCGAGCCTCCACCAGAGTTTCCTCTGGCCTCGCCCTGCTCAGGCATAGTTCACCATCTTTCGGGTCCCAACGGGCATGCTCACACTCAAACCTCTCACAGCAGCTCGTGGTTGGCGGACAGTGCACCCGCAGAGGGTTCCCACCACTCAGGTTTCTTCCACCTCGTGGGCTAATCACCCACCGGCTCGCATGCACGTTGAACTCCTCGGTCCGTGTTTCAAGACGGGCAGGATAGAGGAATTTCGCCAGCATCCCGAACACGCAGGAACCAGAATGGGCCCGCCGAAAGAGGCGCGTGCTCAAGGTCCTCGACTGCCGTGRCGGCCACCCGTGGGGGGTTTCAATTGCTCCCCACCGCAATGCCGGTCACAGCAGCCCATGCTGGCAGCCACCCCACGTCCAACAAGCGGGGCGACAACACAGTCGTCGTCCACCCCTGCCCAGACGGGAGCGCACGACTTCCCCTCCATCCGCTTCTCGCTCGGCAATTTCAAGCACTCTTTAACTCTCTATTCAAAGTTCTTTTCATCCTTCCCTCGCGGTACTTCTTCRCTATCGGTCCCTCGCACATATTTAGCCTTGGATGGGACTTACCACCCAATTGGGGCTGCATTCCCAAGCAACCCGACTCTTGGACAACACCTCGTTGCGCAGCAGGGTCTGGCGGTCGACGGGGCTGTCACCCTCTTCGGCGTCCCCTTCCAGGGAACCTGCACACGGCCCGCTGCAGAGGTTGCCTCTCAAGACTACAATTAAGGGAGCATCACAGCCCCCGGATTTTCAGTCTGGGCTATTCCCGGTTCGCTCGCCGCTACCAAGGGAATCCTCACTGGTTTTTCTTCCTCCGCTTAGTTATATGCTTAAATTGGGCGGGTGCTCCCGCCCGACCTGAGATCAAAAGGCAAGGCCCGACGTACCTCCACAGCTTGAGGCCGACATCCCCAAACGCAAGCCCACCTTACATGCCGTTTTCAGGGAAACGAAGACCACCACCCACAAACGGGTGCTGGAGGGCAACAACAGGGCGGAGCGAAACGCACCACTTAGGGCTGCAGCTCCCACAGGCCCGCTCGGAATGCTCTCCAATTCCCTTCCACTTTAGGCTATCGAAGCTCTCCAAGTGGGAAGCGAGGGATGCCACGACCACGGACCCCACCACTCTCCGAAACGGAAGGTGCTGAGGTCGTGAGGAATCCAATGATGCTCAGGCGGGCGTGCCCTCGGCAGAAGCCTTGGGCGCCACGTGCGTTCAAGGTATCGATGGCTCATGGATTTCTGCAATTCACATTCAGTATCGCATTTCGCTGCGCTCTTCATCGTTGCGAGGGCCAAGATATTCGTTTGCCGAGAGTTCTACAATATGGTCCCGTTCCGACAGGACCGACCCCTCGACCAGAACAGAAGGGGTCGTCAACCCCGACAGCGACAAATCAGAGCAGGTACATCAATAAGAAGTTGCAAAGCCGTCGCCACCAGCCGCTGCCACGGGCCCGCCCGACCCCCCGTTCGGGGGGCCAGGCAGGGCACCAGGGAGCAATGGGGCAACGAGGGTGCCAGCGCTGTCTCCTCCCCCCGCCCCCAACCCGACACCACCC